CCGGGATTTGGGGTTCCTGATAGACTGATATCAATATGAGACCTCGGCCGGGATTTGGGGTTCCTGCTAGACTGATATCAATATAATGAGACCTCGGCCAACATTTGGGGTTCCTGATAGACTGATATCAATATAAGGAGACCTCGGCCAACATTTGGGGTTCCCGATAGGCTGATATCGGTGTAATGAGACCTCGGCCGGGATTTGGGGTTCCTGATAGGCTGATATCGGTGTAATGAGACCTCGGCCAACATTTGGGGTTCCCAATAGGCTGATATCGGTGTAATGAGACCTCGGCCGGGATTTGGGGTTCCTGATAGGCTGATATCGGTGTAATACATTTTATTATAGTTCATGTTCATCTCCAGCTGTAGGTTTTCCCTGGAAGAGAACAAAGTCTTCCATCCAGATTCCGATCCCCCAGATGCAGCACTTCCCGAGATTAGATTTACGTCCCCCCGGGATCCTGTTCACGAGTGATAAAAATTTGGACTGTGAGGACGGTCGCAGATCGGATCAGCAGCTTCTTTTTTTTGTAGTTGTGCCAATGCAAGCTGACAGGAACACAAGCTGAAATATAATAGAAGGCTTTCGGTTTCCTAGTTCCTCTCCTTATGAATGGCCATGATGAGCTATTGGCATTGGCTGGAAGAATGATGTGATGGAGGTGGAAGAAGTGAGGCTTCCCATAGGGTGAAGTGCGGCCTGAAAGAGGAGAGAATCCAGAGGAGCTGGATGACCCCAGGTAGACATCTTCTGGGATTCCCATGGAGTAGATGTACAAGGGAAACCCCAAAATGAGGAAAGGCCTTTGAGGACACCCCGGTGGGATCTTATCTTCATTCCCCCCCTGGGCACCCCTTAGAACCCCACAGGAGATGCTGGACACCCACACAAGGCAATCCCTGACCGGGCTACAGGACTCAGTGGGGGAAAAGGATGATGATGACATATAGACAGATTTACTAAAGGAATCTTCATTTTCTATGAACCTTTCTGGGCCCCTGAAGTGAAGACAGAGCAGAGTCCTCCTCTGAGTCCTCCTATGAACCCTCTATAGATCAGATCGTACAGAGACCCCCAACATGCTCATCACTTGTCAATCATTGGGAAGTGTGCGGATGAGCTGAGTCCCCGTTCACACTCTGGTGTTGCGTGAACGCGTGCCAAAGTGCGCACTTCAGCACGTGTGTTCACGCAACGGGTTAATAACGTGAAACCTGAGTTTTGGCATGGACGCATGTCAAACGTGCGGGGGGAAAAATGGATCATTTGCAGCTGAAAATGCTACATGAGCTGCTTTGCTGCGTTTATCATGCGTGGCGGCAGCCAAGTGATTGAATGGGCTGACACGTGGCAATGGCAGCAGATAACACATAGAAACGTGAACATTCGCACACGCTCACACATCGCATAGCGCGCATGGGGCCGCGCAGTGTAATGTCTGTTCATGTGATCATGTGACGATGAATGCACTCAGTGCAGATCCCCCCCCCCCGCTCTCCATCATGGCAGCGCAGGGGTTAAGTGGTGGGTGGAAAGCTCCGAGGATTCCCCTCCAGCCAGTGGAAGTTCTTCCCATTGTACAGCGAGCGGTGACGCAGCGTCTGACGCCAACACACTCGCCGCCGCCGCTGCTGGAAATTTATTTTTAGCTTTTCATTTTGGCAGCTGAAGCTTCGTTCCCGTCCTGGAAACCCGAAACACAGAAACCGCTCCGGCGTTATATCCCAATGATCAATCGTGACAATGTATGGGGGGGGGGCCAAAGGATCCCCCTCACCGTACCGAACGATACGCGGTGACATCCCGAAGAAGTCATCCTCATCCGCTGTGTCTCTCCTCAGACAATGCGATCTCCGCCGACCTGCAGATCATATAACGAGGAGAACAAATGAATTCCCTCCGGAGAGTCAACGATGAGGAACGTTCTCAGGAACGGGACCGACCGACGTGTCCATGGAAAGATATAGAGAAATCGGCACGGATGGATTGATTGATTGATTGATTGATAAGTAGATGTCCGTAGCAGGAATGCAGCCTGTGGGGTAGTAGTGTGGTATATATGTGGTAGAGCACTCCTCCAACATGAGACCATTCCGTCACCAAGGGAGGAAATCCCCCAAAGCACCAAATATTTCCTGTATAGAGCCGAGAGGAACAGAGAAGACACATTGTAAAGACTAAACTATAGATAATGATAACAGATAGATAATCATCGAGACCATCGAGGGTATCGAGACTACTGAGACCATTGTGATCATCGAGGGTATCAGGACCATTGAGACTATTGACAGTATCAAGACCACTGAGACCATCCATAATCTCAATGGCCTTCATTCTGTCAGTAGTCTCAAGGGTCCCAATACTCTCGATGGTCTCAATGATTTTGATGATCTTGATACTCTCTATGGTCTTGATGGGCTCCATGATCTCAATGGCCTTGATACTGCCAATAGTCTCAATGCTTTCAATACTCTCGATGGTCCCAATACTCTCGATGGTCCCGATACTCTCGTTGGCCCCAATACTCTTGATGGTCTCGATGGTCCCAATACTCCTGATGGTCCCAATACTCTCGTTGGCCCCAATACTCCTGATGGTCCCAATACTCTTGATGGTCCCAATACTCTCGATGGTCCCAATACTCCTGATGGTCCCAATACTCTTGATGGTCCCAATACTCTTGATGGTCTCAATGGTTTCAATACTCTCGATGGTCCCAATACTCTCGATGGTCCCAATACTCTCGATGGTCCCAATACTCCTGATGGTCCCAATACTCTTGATGGTCCCAATACTCTTGATGGTCTCAATGGTTTCAATACTCTCGATGGTCCCAATACTCTCGATGGTCCCAATACTCTCGTTGGCCCCAATACTCTTGATGGTCTCGATGGTCCCAATACTCTCGTTGGCCCCAATACTCTTGATGGTCTCGATGGTCCCAATACTCTCGATACCCTCGATGGTCTCGGGAGTTTTAGGTTTGGGTAGATGGAGGAGTCTCAATTTTCAGACACTTTAGTAAATAGTTCTGATTGTGCAGAACAACTTCTAGTAGATTCTTATTTCCATCTCTTGTTTAGTAGATCTCCCGGCAGAGCCGATGTTTTAGTTTTGGTTGGGACCTGGACGGGTTGGACCCCCTGTCAGTGTTTATCTCTGTCTGTGTCAGATAGTCGCCCCTCCGAGAAAGGAAATGAGGGGGAAATCCAAAATGTTAGCATTGTCCCCAGAACAGGAACCTTCCAGTGGCGACTCTTGTTTTAGGGACAACTGTTTGAGAGTCGAAAGGAGATTTGTTTCTTACTTCCGGTTGCATCTTTGGGACAGGAAGTGAGGGGAAATCTGGAGTCTGACACGGGTCAGAGGTCACCTGGCAGAGAGCAGTGTAGGATAAGGAGAGTTGATCACTGTCAGGTCTCTGATGCTCATGCTGCCCGGGGTCATTCTGATTAGTGATTGAACAAAATCTTTCCTTTATGACCCATTTATATCTCTGTGCCGCAAGAAGTCACATGCGTTATGACGCTTGTTGTGCTGCTTTAAGACATCCCATTGGCTGCCAATGGCTGAAAATCACACATGACCCTTTTTAGTGCTGTGCGTTGTCAGGCCGAGTCCATTGGGCGGCCAATTAACATGAATGTGAGGTGCGACAATGCACACATTATGGGCCCCCAAGGAAGCTGCGGACTCCAGTGGCTGTTGTGCTTCCCATAGACGAACGCATGGATGTCACAGGAGCAGGGACAGGTGAGTGGGGGAGGGGAGACAATTTAAAGGATCATCCCTGAAAGTCCCATCACCGGCCCTCATTGCGTCCTTTGAGGTGCGTCTGTCTTCATTCTCACATGGCTGACTCTCTGACAGTCTCATATTACAGTTCCGGAGAGTCCGCACCCAGGAAGATGTGACAATGAATCCAGGTCATTGTGAACGCACATGAAAGGCGATCGGGGGCCCGATTATAACAATACAATATCTGTCCTCCGCCACAACAATGGCTGAACACAGAAAGCACAGATCAGGTTATCTCCCCCGTATCAGGTGTGAGAAATTCCGGAGACGAGCAGAACATTCACCGGGGGGACGAGCAGAACATTCACCGGGGGGACGAGCAGAACATTCACCGGGAGGGCGAGCAGAACGTTCACCGGGGGACGGGAAGAACATTCACCGGGAGGGCGAGAAGAACATTCACAGGGGGGACGAGCAGAACATTCACCAGGGGAGACGAGAAGAACATTCACCGGGGGGGAGGGGCAGAACATTCACCGGGAGGGCGAGCAGAACGTTCACCGGGGGACGGGAAGAACATTCACCGGGAGGGCGAGAAGAACATTCACAGGGGGGACGAGCAGAACATTCACCAGGGGAGACGAGAAGAACATTCACCGGGGGGGAGGGGCAGAACATTCACCGGGAGGGCGAGCAGAACGTTCACCGGGGGACGGGAAGAACATTCACCGGGAGGGCGAGAAGAACATTCACAGGGGGGACGAGCAGAACATTCACCAGGGGAGACGAGAAGAACATTCACCGGGGGGGAGGGGCAGAACATTCACCGGGAGGGCGAGCAGAACGTTCACCGGGGGACGGGAAGAACATTCACTGCTCCGCCTCTATCCGAGGAAAGGGCTAGATGATGCTGGACGTCCTCCGGCCAGGAAATGAGGCGGAGCTCTATCTGACTTGCTGGAGCTTCTAGTGCACATTGTGAGAAGCACGCTGTGTGCGGTGACATCAGAGTATTTCCGCCCGGGAGATGACAGGTCCTCTTTGGGTCTTTCTAGCGGTTTTGTTGATTTGTCATATTTTTTAAATCTTTATTTGTAATTTTCGGGTACAAAGTTCTACATTTAGATTGTGAGCTCTCCGCCGAGGCGGATATTCTGATTTCTGTAATGACGTGACTGTAACCTGAGCGCACAATGTCTGCCGGAAGCTTCACATTCTCCATCTCCCCCCAGGTGGCTCCACGATGACGATTTCCATCCTCTGAGAGATTCCCCGCGTTCTGCACCGACCTGCGTGGTGAGTGACCCCCCCCCACCCCCCCACATCACTGACATTTAACCCCTTAGTGCACTCTGGTCATGTGACCGTCCAGGCAACATTACATCTGCCAATGAGGTGACCCGTGCCAACCTATGAGCTCCACCTCCTGATCCGGATCCAACCTATACCGTGGCGGAGTCAAGGTATACACACGATCACACCCCCCCTGTATGACCAGACGGTTGTGGACCTATCCCCCCCCTACTTCCAGTAACAGTTTGGTGAAGACCCTTTTCTCTTCCATGTGGGAGGTGGGGCCCCATATTAATGGCCGTAGGGGAGGTGGGGCTCCATATTAATGGCCATAGGGGAGGTGGAGCTCCATATTAATGGCCGTGGGGGAGGAGGGACTCCATATTAATGGCCATAGGGGAGGTGGAGCTCCATATTAATGGCCGTGGGGGAGGAGGGACTCCATATTAATGGCCATAGGGGAGGTGGAGCTCCATATTAATGGCCGTGGGGGAGGAGGGACTCCATATTAATGGCCATAGGGGAGGTGGAGCTCCATATTAATGGCCGTGGGGGAGGAGGGACTCCATATTAATGGCCATAGGGGAGGTGGAGCTCCATATTAATGGCCGTGGGGGAGGAGGGACTCCATATTAATGGCCATAGGGGAGGTGGAGCTCCATATTAATGGCCGTGGGGGAGGAGGGACTCCATATTAATGGCCATAGGGGAGGTGGAGCTCCATATTAATGGCCGTGGGGGAGGAGGGACTCCATATTAATGGCCATAGGGGAGGTGGAGCTCCATATTAATGGCCGTGGGGGAGGAGGGACTCCATATTAATGGCCATAGGGGAGGTGGAGCTCCATATTAATGGCCGTGGGGGAGGAGGGACTCCATATTAATGGCCATAGGGGAGGTGGAGCTCCATATTAATGGCCGTGGGGGAGGAGGGACTCCATATTAATGGCCATAGGGGAGGTGGAGCTCCATATTAATGGCCGTGGGGGAGGAGGGACTCCATATTAATGGCCATAGGGGAGGTGGAGCTCCATATTAATGGCCGTGGGGGAGGAGGGACTCCATATTAATGGCCATAGGGGAGGTGGAGCTCCATATTAATGGCCGTGGGGGAGGAGGGACTCCATATTAATGGCCATAGGGGAGGTGGAGCTCCATATTAATGGCCGTGGGGGAGGAGGGACTCCATATTAATGGCCATAGGGGAGGTGGAGCTCCATATTAATGGCCGTGGGGGAGGAGGGACTCCATATTAATGGCCATAGGGGAGGTGGAGCTCCATATTAATGGCCGTGGGGGAGGAGGGACTCCATATTAATGGCCATAGGGGAGGTGGAGCTCCATATTAATGGCCGTGGGGGAGGAGGGACTCCATATTAATGGCCATAGGGGAGGTGGAGCTCCATATTAATGGCCGTGGGGGAGGAGGGACTCCATATTAATGGCCATAGGGGAGGTGGAGCTCCATATTAATGGCCGTGGGGGAGGAGGGACTCCATATTAATGGCCATAGGGGAGGTGGAGCTCCATATTAATGGCCGTGGGGGAGGAGGGACTCCATATTAATGGCCATAGGGGAGGTGGAGCTCCATATTAATGGCCGTGGGGGAGGAGGGACTCCATATTAATGGCCATAGGGGAGGTGGAGCTCCATATTAATGGCCGTGGGGGAGGAGGGACTCCATATTAATGGCCATAGGGGAGGTGGAGCTCCATATTAATGGCCGTGGGGGAGGAGGGACTCCATATTAATGGCCATAGGGGAGGTGGAGCTCCATATTAATGGCCGTGGGGGAGGAGGGACTCCATATTAATGGCCATAGGGGAGGTGGAGCTCCATATTAATGGCCGTGGGGGAGGAGGGACTCCATATTAATGGCCATAGGGGAGGTGGAGCTCCATATTAATGGCCGTGGGGGAGGAGGGACTCCATATTAATGGCCATAGGGGAGGTGGAGCTCCATATTAATGGCCGTGGGGGAGGAGGGACTCCATATTAATGGCCATAGGGGAGGTGGAGCTCCATATTAATGGCCGTGGGGGAGGAGGGACTCCATATTAATGGCCATAGGGGAGGTGGAGCTCCATATTAATGGCCGTGGGGGAGGAGGGACTCCATATTAATGGCCATAGGGGAGGTGGAGCTCCATATTAATGGCCGTGGGGGAGGAGGGACTCCATATTAATGGCCATAGGGGAGGTGGAGCTCCATATTAATGGCCGTGGGGGAGGAGGGACTCCATATTAATGGCCATAGGGGAGGTGGAGCTCCATATTAATGGCCGTGGGGGAGGAGGGACTCCATATTAATGGCCATAGGGGAGGTGGAGCTCCATATTAATGGCCGTGGGGGAGGAGGGACTCCATATTAATGGCCATAGGGGAGGTGGAGCTCCATATTAATGGCCGTGGGGGAGGAGGGACTCCATATTAATGGCCATAGGGGAGGTGGAGCTCCATATTAATGGCCGTGGGGGAGGAGGGACTCCATATTAATGGCCATAGGGGAGGTGGAGCTCCATATTAATGGCCGTGGGGGAGGAGGGACTCCATATTAATGGCCATAGGGGAGGTGGAGCTCCATATTAATGGCCGTGGGGGAGGAGGGACTCCATATTAATGGCCATAGGGGAGGTGGAGCTCCATATTAATGGCCGTGGGGGAGGAGGGACTCCATATTAATGGCCATAGGGGAGGTGGAGCTCCATATTAATGGCCGTGGGGGAGGAGGGACTCCATATTAATGGCCATAGGGGAGGTGGAGCTCCATATTAATGGCCGTGGGGGAGGAGGGACTCCATATTAATGGCCATAGGGGAGGTGGAGCTCCATATTAATGGCCGTGGGGGAGGAGGGACTCCATATTAATGGCCATAGGGGAGGTGGAGCTCCATATTAATGGCCGTGGGGGAGGAGGGACTCCATATTAATGGCCATAGGGGAGGTGGAGCTCCATATTAATGGCCGTGGGGGAGGAGGGACTCCATATTAATGGCCATAGGGGAGGTGGAGCTCCATATTAATGGCCGTGGGGGAGGAGGGACTCCATATTAATGGCCATAGGGGAGGTGGAGCTCCATATTAATGGCCGTGGGGGAGGAGGGACTCCATATTAATGGCCATAGGGGAGGTGGAGCTCCATATTAATGGCCGTGGGGGAGGAGGGACTCCATATTAATGGCCATAGGGGAGGTGGAGCTCCATATTAATGGCCGTGGGGGAGGAGGGACTCCATATTAATGGCCATAGGGGAGGTGGAGCTCCATATTAATGGCCGTGGGGGAGGAGGGACTCCATATTAATGGCCATAGGGGAGGTGGAGCTCCATATTAATGGCCGTGGGGGAGGAGGGACTCCATATTAATGGCCATAGGGGAGGTGGAGCTCCATATTAATGGCCGTGGGGGAGGAGGGACTCCATATTAATGGCCATAGGGGAGGTGGAGCTCCATATTAATGGCCGTGGGGGAGGAGGGACTCCATATTAATGGCCATAGGGGAGGTGGAGCTCCATATTAATGGCCGTGGGGGAGGAGAGGCCCCATATTAATGGCCGTGGGGGAAGAGGGGCCCCATATTATTGACCTTGGGGGGTTATCAGTTAACACACACTTGTACCGTATAGTGTATCTTATAAAACAATACAACGTCTCTGGCAGGAGAGCGATTGTGTGTCCGATGACGTCATAGATCATGTGACATGGATTGTATACATACGATGCACCCGGCACCCGGCGGGGGGGACAACAGAGGCGGCAGCTGGGGGGCCATGTTCGGTTTTCTGTATGGGATGTTATGGCGCCATTTTTGGAACGCGGCCCTTAACTCTGATTGGTTCACAGGCCCCTCTGGAGCGCCGTCCGCCTCCACTGTATTCAGGATCATTATGTGTATTTCAGTCCTCTCCAGTGGGCCCGCGCTGCCCCCGGGGCCCCCGGGGGCCCCCCGAGACCTGACACATTTGGACGGCCTCTGTCATTGTAATTATCCAGATAACGAGGCCGCGTACGTCTGGGAGACGATCGTGTTGTTTATATGTCGTCCCCGCGGCCACTTCCATTCTATTCCTCTTCTTCTGCCGCCACAGAGATCATAGAAGTCCCTCCGACCCGGCCTTTGCCTCACCCCACACCCGGCGTAATTCACTTCCTGCCCCGCATAACCAAACAGGAAGTGAGTGGGAATCCTGCTAATGGAGTCACAGACAAAATAAACCCAACAGAGGTGCCAACCCTTTCCAATAACAATGAACACGGAGGTCCTTGGTGTCAGCGGGGATACAATGTAACACAATGACAGGGGATGGGGGAGGGGAAGAGGTGCCAACCCTTTCCAAATAACAATGAACACGGAGGTCCTTGGTGTCAGCGGGGATACAATGTAACACAATGATGGGGGGGGGGAGGGGAGATG